GCAGCCCAAGCACACAACAGCTTCAAAAAAGAAGACGACAGATGCGTTGCCACCCCTAAGGATTAAACAGAAATACCTAATTACTTGTAGTTTTACTGGCGTTCTTATTCCCCAAAACAAAACGCAGATGGTGCACTGCTACTTGGCGGAAATAGAATTGATTAGGACGGGGGTACCAATTCAGATAGACTGCTAGGTATAAAACGGATCTTAATTGTTCAAGTTCCTTTAGGAAGTGTTCTTTCAAAGCGATCTGTTTCTCAGGCATACCCCGTTAACAGCGGCTAGAAATATTTTTAAAAAGCTGAAGTATTGTAAAATATAAATTACGTGTAATACATATTACATATTAAAAACAAAAAGAAAACGATACGTATATTGCAGAAAATATAACAAAGGAATAGATCATTAGAATAATTCATTATTTACATATTGTCTAGTAAAAGTGTATTATTCCACCCTCTAATTACATTTACAAGTATTTAATAGTTTTAATTAATATCAGTATGTTTTAATAACCCATGCGGCATTACTAAAAGCGTACAATCTTTAGCGGGGATTAAGCGGGGCTATATTCTCTGGAGCGATTCCCTCAAATCCCTTAAACCGGGAAAGTTTCCGGCGCCGCCGGTCGGTCAATGGGGATAGTAACAGGGATTTGCCGTCAACTCATCTCATTACTTTGATTGAGGAAATCTTATCCCATGCTCGGATGCAAGTTAAAATTTGAATTAAAAGTGTTTATAACAAATTCTAATAGGAAGTCAAAACTTGTTCAAAATCATAAGATGATTTCTTACAGAAGTAAATCAATAGTTAATTTTTTATAGATGTAAGGGTACAACGGATACACAGTACTGTTGATGGTAAGTGGATGTTGTTGACCACACATACCCTCACCTTTGCTTGTTAAGGATGAAAAATAATCTACATATTGATGGAGCATTATTAGCCCTGAGGACGAATTTGAAATGACTCGTTACAAGTAAAAGTGGTCATCGGTTCTTGTTACTTATCATACGAAACACGGCAGCTTTATGTTGCTATTTCAAACTGGTATTCGGCACGAACATGGTAGTTTTTTGGTTGAGCCGACCCATTTGAGTTACAGTATTAATATACTGCAGCAAGGCTCCACGTTATCTCACTGCATTTAAAATTAGTATTTTACGGATCTTATTGTGTATAATTAACTTTTTCTTTTAAGTAATTTAAATTCGTTTAAATCCGTAAAAGAATTAGTTGGATTAAACTTGTGAACTATATTTTTTTAACCTTAACCGGAGATCCTTTTACTGGAATTGAGGCATTTCATCTTAGCACACACGGGTCCACAACGCATGCGCATTTTCTCAATCGAGGATAGATGTCAATGTCTATGGGCCACAGCATCCACTTAACATTAGGTGGACTGTGTGCTCGTTTGTCACACTTTTTCTATATGAAAAACAGATCCGGGCCGGCAAAGATTAAATAAATCCAACGTTGTCAAATTTTTCGTGGTACAATTATCGTTGAGAGCAACTCAGTATCACGTTTAATACGGCAACTTTAATTTGAGTGCGACACAACATGAAAGCGCTTCCCATCCGCACAATGCGGAATGGCAAAAGTTAGCTTGTTTATATCCACTTTAGAGGTGCGAAGGCACGCAAATGGGAGGTGTGAAATACCGTCTGACTTATTGCTGTAAAGTGGTGCTACGGTGTACGCTTGTTATAGCAACTTGGTATGATTTAACTGCAAAAATATTTCAGAGTATTCGCCTCTCTTAATATGAATCTGGTTGGTCTCTAATGGCTGCGAGAATGCAATATTTTACTGAAAGCGGGGAAACATTTGCAACTTATTATTGACAGTGTTACGTAAATGTCTATATCCTGGTATCATTCTTTGTATGTTAAGTTAAATCATAATAAGAGTCCGATTGTGGGGAGTCGGAACAATACCACAGGGTATCACAGTACAGGATATGCTCCCTCATATTGGCCAATCACTAGTAAAATAAGTGTTTAGTTTCATTAATACGTAGTTATTGAAGGTATTGTGATGAGAAATAAACTATATTTTAATAATAATGTTAACATTCAGATGCATGATAATACGCCCCCGAAATTGGCGTTGGATTGATCCCACCCGGCAGCGTTTAAATTTTTAGCAGCAAATTTTAAATATATATAATATGATAATGACGGAAACAATAAATTTTTAATTACTTGAATTGCATATTTCTGTAATTGTATCAAAATATTTCTTAGATATTCTAAGATTGCTAACACGCATTAGGGCAGCCTCTATCATGCTTCGAAATTTATTTATTTATTTATTATATGGACAACAAAACAGATAACAATCAAAATACATTAAAAATTACACATATACATATAAAAGTTTTGTGCCAGATTGTTTTCCTAAGTATGTTGACACATCATTTTCATATTTTACAACAGGGGAGATCAAATCTACGCTTAACAATATTAATGCCGTACATTACTATATAATACAAAAAAAAAAACAAATTTTACATACAACAAGTTTAAAATCTATGTGATATGGGATATAATACAAAAAACAAATTTTACATACATTATATTTAAAATCTATGTGATATGGGAATGAGCGTGTATGACTGTAAGCTCTTTTACTGCTCTTTTCAATATCCTTGATCTTGGGTCAAAAATAGCCAAGCGGGAGTCTTACATGGATATCTCTTTGTAAAGTCGACACATTCTTATTATCGGGTTGTAAAAAGACGTATTATTCTTGTAAGTCTGCAGGTGAAATGTCTTGTTAGGATTTCGGGGATTGCGCTTTGTAATTAAGTTTAATTTACTTAAGAGGTAACCGGAATCAATCTCATTATGGAGAATTTTATGTAAATATATAAGGTCATATTACTTACGGCGAATAAATAAAGAGATCATTTTAAATTTTTCGAGTCTCTCACTATAACCGACAAGACTGCGACCAAGACCACATTTGTAGCTAAGTATTCTAAGGGTTCTTTTTTGGACGCTTTCTATACTATCCGAATGCACTGTGTAGCAGGGAGACCAAATGACACAAGCATATTGAAGAATACTACGGACAAGGCTATTATAAACGGTCAGGAAGCTTTGAGGCTGTTTAAAGTCCTTAGTGAATCTCGATATGAAACCTAGCAACCGGAATGCTTTGTTCTTGATGTGGGCATATTGCTCACGAAATGTTAATTTAGAGTCAAACAGCACACCCAGATCTTTCTCTACCGTTTTTCTGTCTACTGAATCTTCATTAATTTTATAGTCATATGTCTGTTTATATTTCTTATTTGTGAACGTTATAATAAAACACTTTTTAACATTGAGATGCATATCGTTAAGCCGGCACCGTTCGGATATTGAATCAATATCATCTTGTAGCTTAACACAATCAGATAAATCCTGTATTACACGGTACATTTTCAAGTCATCAGAATATAGAAGGCAGGGACTGGACAGTTTACAAATCAGATCGTTTATGAATACAATTAAAAAAAAACGGAAAAAATGCGGAAATCACAGATAACCTGTGCTCAAGTAGAAGGGCTTATAAAGAATGTTACTTTATCTACTGAAAAATGTATATATCGGATGGATAAAATATATAAATTGGATGGTAATACTCGTAACTATGGTATAAAGTAAAAACTAAAAGTAAAGTTACAGCCTATATACGTCCCACTGCTGGGCACAGGCCTCCCCTCATTTCTGAGAGGATTTTAGGACAAGGAAGTGTCCGCCGCGTTGTCCCAATGCGTGTTGGCGAACTTCACATGTCTTCGAAATATTTTTTTCTCTTATTCCTCAGACATGCAGATTTCCTCACGATGTTTTCTTAAGCGTGTAAATTGCAGAACTTAAAATTGCAATTAACAATTTCATTGGTGCCGTCGGGGATCGAACCCGGGTTACTCGCGTTCTGTTATATTTACAGCGAGCGTTAACCATCTGAGCTACCACGTCTCTATAACTATGGTATATTTAAATTTTACGTAAATAAGTGATATTATGAATGTAAATAACAATTTTAAAAATATCGGATATTATTTAAAAAAAATATTTTCCTATACATCAAAATGTATAAATAAATCGATAAAATTGTAAATGAATCGAGTTAGGGAAGTTTCCCTTCCGTTCGTTCGAAATCTGTATGCGGTAAGTCAATACGGCCTCATTGTACCCACTTTATTACAGTTCCATTCAGGTTTTAATTAATTGCCAGGTCTGTTTGATTGAAACACTTCTGGAAGTTGTTAGATATTGTTTGGACAGGCTTTGCGTCTACCTCTACTGATGGCGAACGGCCTTGTTTTGTATCGGACACGCTTTAGAAAACTTTGATTACGTCATTCGTTTTTCCAGTTTTGTATCGCGTTCTGTTATTATTTTGTTGTTGAATTTTCATTTGAAATTATTGCAATTCGTAGCAATAAAATACTAAAAATGAATTATTTCTGTGCTTTTTTATTGCATAATATTTTTAACAAATTTAAACACAAGTTTGAGAAACATATATTTTTGTTATGTGTTGTAAACAGTGAAGTTTGTACTCACATAGTTATGTATTCTTCTCATAGTGAAAATAAAGCCACGTGGTGATGCACGAATGTAAGCAATTTTTGTATTAATATAACGATATTAAGAAATACTGGCTTTATTTGAAGATAAATTTGCTAATTATTCTTTTAAGATGGGAAAGATCGGAGAAGAAAATTTTATTCACGCAGTGGGAATTTAGTGTTTTGTTTGTCAGAAATATAAAAAAATAGAAAACTATATGACAAGTTGTAGAAGGCGTTCTTCAAATGAAGACATTATAATAATTATTCATTTTTTGGTACCTGATTCTGCAGACCTTCATGAACTTGCGCGAGCGAGATGCTACCACGTCACCGTGTACCGGAGCAAGATAGCGATAAAACTGTGCACGCTTCAAGTTCATCCAAGTCTAATCAGCACATAAGTTCAGAACAAAATCATTTAATAATCAGCCTTATTGACAGGAATATTGCTGATTATCGATTCAAATATTCCAGATGTAGGTCCATGAGGGCCAGGAGTTGACTGGCGCGCGGCAGATGCGGCAGCAACAGGCGGTCGTGAAGGCGGAGCTTTGCGTGTTCGAGTCTGCGCAGAAGCCTTCAGTTGCCATAGCAACGCCTCCTCCAAATGTTTGTGATTACGTTCAACATCCATAGAGAGGTTGGAAGGAACTTTCATGATTGACGTTATACTCGATAATTGTGTTTGGGTGTCGGCTGGGCTTTTTAAAAGTTTGGTTTTGAGTTATTGATAAAATTATAAAATAGATGCTTGGACTATATATACTAATATAATACCAACATGTGCTATGTGGCGTGCACAATTAATGAGATGCTAATATCAATTGTAAATTAAAAATGTAAATTCCAGATCAGCATCATGTCAGTAGCTGTTAAACACGAATTAATAACATGCCATCCATAAGGATTCTGCGCTTGGGCTTTGTGGACTTCGGACGTGTCGGATGAGTTCACTCCAGTCACTCCACTCTCTTTCACCATGCACACAAATAATTTTATTGCTATACCGTATTTGGCGACTGCATAGGTACTCTCATCGTGGTGCGCGAAGCAGGCTGTCCGGGAAGAAAGATTGAAATTGCTGTTTCAGAGAAGTTTAGCAAAGAGAATAAATATAAACATTTTCATAATCACAACGACTTATCACCATCATCAACATCATCATTACATACCTTTATAAGTCCGCTACTGAACATGGGCCTCCCTCGCTCCTAAGGAATACCACAAACCACAGCCATGAACCATCCGTATCGACTCCTGTATAACTTACTAGGTCGTCACTCATCTATTGGAGGGCAGCACAGCTCTTATCAGTGACTTAATAAACATTATTTTATAGTAATTTAAAATAACCACCAATACGTGTGTACAGCTAGAAAATGTCCATCATGTTTTACGTTGAGTGAGTTTTGGTGCTGAGAAGATACTGTCGCGATAACCCATGTTAGCTTTTGACTTAACTGACTACGTGTCTATGTATTTTTTAATTTAAAACATGCAGGCTGTCTAGGATTTTTAGATTTTTCTTAAAATTTTAAATATCAATATTACAAGTGCCAACGAGAATCGAGCTCGATTACATTTTAAGACGAACCCTCAGAACAGCTTCATTGTTCTAATTTCTAAAATGTTTACTATTGATTTTGATTAATGTTTACTTTTATTTACCACATGAAAAAAATTTCCTTTTTCATGTGGTAAATAAAAGTAAACAGTTCCTGAAAAAGAAAGATTCAGAAGGCAACAGATATGTCCATACCCTCTCCCTCGCTCTCCATTATCGTTAACCCAAAATACATTTTTGGGTTAACGATAATAGAGGTAAATATACGTGTTTGTAAGAATCAGTTTTCTTACAAACACCAAATTGAAATCTCATCTGCAAATGAAATAATTGCGAAGACACGTGTTTGCTTCTAAAACTTAAATTAAATTAAAACTTTAAACCAAAGTTCATTGCAAGCAAAACAAAGAAAAGAGCCGTAATAACTCAAGGTCTAAACGCTAATAGTAAATTTTACAGTGAGCAAACAAACCGGGTTGAATTCCACTGACACCAACGAAATTTTTAACTGTAAAGAAATTATGTTCTGATATATTAAGCAAGTACTCGGCAATGAAGGAAAATATCGTGAAGGAACCTGCATTTTTGGGGAATAAAAATATTTTGGAAACATGGAAAATCCCGCGACCCTTACTGGAGTATTCAGGTGGACTAATAGTTTCTTATCAAATTCAAATTAATTTATTTGCCAAAATATAGGCGTAAAATAAAGTATGAAATTAAATAATGTCTAATGGCCCATTTACATTCTACCACTACATAATGTGTACAAATATTTTATAGTTATATATGTATTTTTTTAAACTACAAGTGCGAACTGAATTGTGTACATTTATGATTTTTTCATTTTTTTTTCATTACTGCCCTTCACAAGTCCTGAACATAGAAAGACCTGCTGAACATAGACCTCCCCCAAGGTATGCCACAAAGCACGGTCCTGAGCCACCTGCATACATTGACTTCCTGCATGTCTTACCAGGTCATCACTCAATCTAGTGGGGGGTCGCCCTACACTTCGCCTACCGGTACGAGGCTGCCACTCGAGAACCTTTTTTCCCCAACGGTTGTCGGTTCTTCGAGCTATATGGCCGGCCCATTGCCACTTCAGCTTACTAATCCGTTGGGCTATGTCGGTCACTCTGGTTCTACTGCGGATATCCTCATTTCTAAGTTTATCACGCAGAGAAACTCCGAGCATAGCCCTCTACATAGCTCGCTGAGCGACTTTGAGCGTCCTCATACGGCCAGCAGTGATGGACCACATCTCGGTTCCGTAGGTCATCACTGGCAAGACGCACTGGTTGTGCCACTTAGTTTACAGGTTTTGAGGTATACCTATTACAAGATAAATTAATCAATTGATGTCAAAATTACAATGTCATTTAAGTACGTGCTCTATACGTGTTAGAGTCGTGCTGCAGTTATATTAGTTGTATAGTTGTAGTACAAATGGGTCGGCTCGACCGGGGAGGGACCACGCTCTCACAGAATACCAGCGTCAAATAGTAGCCTAATGCTGATGTGTTTCTTATGGTGAGTGTGGAGAACCGGAGACCCTTTTTACTGGAAACGAGGCATTCCACTTAGTCCTCACTGGTGACAACGCATCTGCATTTTGATTCGTAATCGATGATAGATGTAGATATCTATGGGCCACAGCAATCACTTACCATCAGGTGGAATGTGTGCTCATTTTTGTTACCCTATCCTATAAAAAAAAGAAAAAAAGTAATAAACTTTAAAATGGCAAATTATGTAATAATCGAATATCGCACTGAGAAATGAGAGCAGGCTTGTATCCAAGGTTGAGATAGTTATGTCATCATGGACCAGAAGGCATAAGTGTTAGTATAGTTTAAAAAAACCTGTCGATGGTCATTTTTTTTTTCAATTTATTTCCGTCGACGTTAGTAAACGATAATAACGTAAGATACATAATATCAAAAATATTTTTATGGGAATTTCATAAATTCCGATCTCAATGAGCGTCTACATTGCGAAATTAGTAACTATACAAAATGTCAAGTCAATGTATAGTTTTAGAGAGATATCGTGATGAGTCACTCAGTCACTCAGTGGTATTTACATGTTTTTTTTAAATAGAACTAGGGTGACAAACGAGCACACAGTCCATCTGATGGTAAGTAAATGCTGTGGCCCATAGATATCTATGGGCTGACATTTAACCTCGCGTTGCGTTGTCATACCTGAGGACTAAGATGGAATACCTCAATTCCAGTAAAACGGGTCTCCGGTTCTTTTCATTCACTATAGGAAACAAAGCAGCGTTATGCTGCTATTTTACGCTGGTATTATGTGAGAGCGGGGTCCTTCCTCGATCGAACCGCCCTTTCGTACTACAACCATAATATAGCTGCAGCGTGGCTCTACCACATAACTTTAACTTTCAAACGAAGAATATAAAGAATAAGGTTCTAATATGAATAAAATCTCTGACATAATCCTTTGTTTGACACGTATTTTAATACTAGACACATTGGGTGCGTTTGCCAGAAAAAAGCGCTAGCAAGCGCTTACAAGCGCTAGCAAGCGCTTACAAGCACTGAAATAGTTTTCGGCCAGGACACGATTGCTACTTCAGTAGCGCTGACACAATCCGCCATTTTGCTTATTTAATTTGTTTGTTTTGAAGTAAGTTTATAAGTTGTTTTGTGCAATATTAGTTTTAAGTAATATAATGACAAGAATAAACGTATAGATGTTATTAAAAATTCATGATTGGCTTATTTTTAATATGAATACTTTACAAAAATATATTTAAATTAGGTTAGGTTCCCCGGTTAAAACTAACATCGTGACCTGGAGGTAAATAGCTACTTACGATTTGACAGCGCTTACCGCTTACGATCGCCATTTTGCTTACAAGCGCTTGCTAGCGCTTTTTTCTGCCAAACGCACCCATTGCGAAGACGTTTATGTTTTTAATTTTATTCAGCCTACGGCGAATGTGCGCTATACATGGCGATATATAGAATTACGTCGTCTCGATTTTCTGTCGTGCCAAACAACAAAAGCCAAAAAATAAAATGGAAGATAAAGTAGGTATTAAGTTACAGCCTATATACATCCCACTGCTGAGCACATGACTTCTCTCAATTTTGAGAGGGTTTTAGGGCAAGGAAGTGTCGTCCGCACTGCCCCAATGCGTGTTGTGTCGTGTGTGTTTTATCTTCGAAATATTTTTTCTTATTTACATGACAGGACATGCAGGTTTCCTCAAGATGTTTTCCTTCACCGCCGAGCACGTGGTAAATCAGCACTTAAAATTGCAATTAACAAATATTGTAGATATTGGCTTACCTTTTTTAACCAGTAGTTTCGGTTTCCATAATATCGGCTCCGTTTTCTTTTGTCGTTAATCTAATATAATGAAACCACCCAAACTGAATATACCTAATTTTCGCCGACATGTGCACTGTCGTCGCCTTTGATGTCTATGTATCGACTATCTAGTATGTAGTGTAGTAAACTTTGCAGCTCCTTTTAAGCATATTGCGCGTACTGAGAAGTGGAAGATTCGGCGTAGTTAACGTTTATATGGAGAAGGAGTATACAAATACGTTAAATTAAATTAAATACTGGTACTTTTTAACTATACTGCCGATGTCGCAGAGTAAGTGCAACTCAGAGTAAGTATATAGTAAATTACTAACAAAATGACTGAATAAGCTGTGTGTTTTGTGTGATTTCAAATGTTGAGTGCATATTAAGGCAAAAAAGCTTTTGTTTTATATTTCTTTTATTAAATTTAATATATAAATTTGTTCTTTTTTTTTTCTTTTTTATAAAAGAGGGGTCAAACGAGCATGCGGCTCACCTGATGTTAAGTAACAGTGACTACCGCCGCCTACGAATGAATTAATTAACATTAATTATATATTTAATTTATATAGGCCTTGAAGTGTAGTTAAAAGTAAAATACAGCTTGCTTACCATACAAACATAAAATTTAATAAATTACAATCAAATTTCGACTACTAGTATAATTAAATGTGCGATAGTTTATCGGCAATGTAAGAAGTGCCAAAGTCTTCGCAATGGTGTACTTATGCAACGTTTAGATACTTGACGGT